TTAGGCTGTCATCTTACTACCTTTATTACGATATAGCATCGATCGAGTGCTGGAAAGGATACATATGGTCGAGGCAAGCTGCTGTTACAGCGACTCGATCTGCAAATCATCCCTACTAGTGTCTCGAAATACACGAGAAAAGACGAGACTATTGATATAATTTTCACACCCTTATCAGCGCTGAATTTCTATCCACAAGGGAGCTGCTGCTTGAGCAGTGACATCTGATTATCACTTCCACTGACCAGAGACTGTAACTAAATGTGTAATTAATTCAAACGGCTGTTGTCGAGGCACGAATTGTCTATTATAGCAATATCACTAAAGAGTGCTATTGTGGTAGATCTAGACTCTCCATCATCCATCTCAACATCAACATAGAGACGTATTATTGATACGAGTGGGAGTTGATAGGCTGGAAACAATATTATCACATACACTACATTGAACACCTTATCATCACTTGTATCATTATATTAGCATAGGGGCTAGACTTTCGCACAGCTTGTAGGATATTGTGCAATAAGGACGATTGTGGAGGATCATGAGTAGATGATAGAAAGGTCCTTAACATTAAGTAAGCCACTCGTCACGACCATCAAAATGGACATTGCATTGTATTCTTGGATGTACAGGCTACTACCAGAGACCCTTCGCGTGACTTGCTTCATCGTCATGTATGCCTCGAGCACATCTTGAAGTAATATACTTCTCAGTATTGAGCCTCAATAATTGAGGACGGCGCTGATATGGTTGATAAATCGTCAGTTATGAGGGCCTTGGAAACGATCATTGCGAGACGTCAGGCAGTTGAAGCGGCTTATTGGCAGCACCATCAAGTGATATAAACATGCTTTTGTTGTTGCATGCACTATGTTTCCCACGTTTCTCACAGTAGGGTAGTTCTCTGCAATGCTTGTGTCAGTGAATAACAGATGGTGTACGAGTAACATATTCGTGATTCTTGATACGAAACTCCGTAGTGTTTAACCCCATAGGTCATCACGTCTTGTCAGCGGCCATGTTTAAATGCTTCACTCAGAGCTCTCGGAAACCACTTCTCACAGAACAAGCCCGCACTAGGGCATTGCCATTAGCTGATTCGGTAGGGCCAATTAACTTGATGGTGATTGAGTGTAACGTTACAGGGGAACGCTCGTGGTGGGGACTCCAAGGAGGCAGAGACTACTGATGATGACAGGGAGGCTCTGGTCAATATTGGGGTGTTGGAAGTGAAGTAAAAGGCGATTTGGAAATTTTGAGGACTGTTCGATGCACGTGGTCAACTACATATGTTGACGGCAACATGAAAATTCTGAGGAAAGTTTGGGAAATTTTTGTTGGTTTCTGTACACTTCAACCCGAATTCTATAGTCAGTAAGGAAACGCCAAGGCTCAGCTGAGAAAAGCGAACTTATATTCAAACACTGATGTTCGTCCGCTCACCAACAGGATCAGTAAATGATGCCACTATCTTCAGATCGAAGTCGTGGCCACAGGATCCTAGAATGCTACTGCATGACTGTAGTGACTGCGTTTTCACCCGAGTGAGTTTCCACAGTTGTACATCGGCAAGTATCTCCTATCAGCATTTCCGTATCCGACCCAGTCCAGGACGTACTTTCTACGTTACACGCTTGAATTGCGAGGTAAACATCATGTGCGATGTGGCCAAGGTAAGCGCAACCGTCACGGTTGAGCCGTGTAAGAACTCATCGCTCCCTCTTTAGCGGCAATTATCATCATAACCGTTCGTGCGTGATTGGTTTTTAATCACGCATATATGAATATTTGCTCACAGCGAGAAGCGATATTCTCCACCCCGGAAGTATTTTAGCTTATTTTTGATCGTTGCAACCTGACATTTCCGTATTAATAATGGAGTTTCAGCCGTGATATGAAAAGAAAACTAGTGAGAAATATATTCCACGACTACTGCATAGCGAGAAAATCGCGAGTATATTTCAACAGAGTGTTACGCCACTTCACGTAAAACGGGTGAAACTCTAATGTATTTAGCTCATCCTCCTCTTTCGGCGAACACCTGTGTTGGCTTACTCACGAAGCCATATGACTTCAGATGCTATGGCCCTTTTCAGGAGTATCTGTTTGAGTTCTGGAAAGCCTTGGGTTCTCTGATGCACCCGGAAACCGTCTATATTGACCGGGTCCTACTAGCGAGGCACTTAGTGCTAGTAAAACCATGTAATTCTGAAAAAAAACTAGACTGCATTGGCAGGTTCGCGATGCCCTCACCTACGGTGGCCGTGTTGAGCCTACGGATCAGCCTAGTAAGTACCATGACGTTATCTCATTGATGGTATCCTCCTCGTAACCAAATTAGGTTGAACTGGCGTGCGTATTTTTGCAGCGTTTGATTTGCTCACCGCAGATAGTCTGCATGCAAATGTGTTAGCCTCCAGTCGGAGGACAAGCTTGAGGACAAAACATATCACACTATTTCCATGGAGAAATGATCACTGACTTTAGGAACATCTGCACAGATACATTAAATGATGTCATGAGCTCACCAGAAGGATTACCAGCCGAGGTCGGCAGCAACAGCGGTGCACTTTGTGGTAAACCTGCTCCCATCATTCTCAGCTACATGGTTCCAGTAGCGGACGTCAGGCATCGGTAGGTCACCAACCTCGAACCGCTCTAGAATGCTGAAAGCCTAACTTTTCAGCTGCCTGATTCCCAGTCAGGGGCTCAGAGAGCATCCAGCCATTCCTCGCCTTCCTCCGACAGTGAGAACCTCTATGCCCGACTAGGATATTCTCCCATGATCCCCCCAAGAGGGGTTTATACAGCGTAATATTACCATACCATTAGGTCGACATCACAGAAGGCGGCATCCCACACTACACCGACCCGAGGTCCTCATGGAGATATCTATCGAAAGGGGAAGGTAGGGACAGTAGGGGTAGTATCGGCTCGGTAGTACCATAGGGGCGACTATGCCACGTGGGGCGACTATGCCACGTGGGGCAAGTATCCCACAAGGGTCAACCATGCCATGTGCAGCAACTAAGCCATTCGGGACAACTAAGCTACTCGGGGCAATTGAGCGATATGGGGCAGCTATGCCACGTGGGGTAGCTATGCCACGTGGGGCAGCCATGCCACGTGGGGTAGCTATGCCACGAGAGCGAGTCGTGGGATACCTCGCTCATGCGTGCTGGCAGCACTCGCGGAATTCCGGCATTCCACCAGGATGTTTAATCTCATACACTTCTGATAGCCAAGCCCACTTGTCAGAGATCATGTAGTATGGTCACTGAGCTTCCGTAGGTACATGCTCCGCCCTGGGCACAACGATAGATCTGCCACGTCATCGAGTGAAGTACTATGGCAGAAAGTGGCTGGTGAGGGAGCCAAATGGGATCTCCGATTTTTGATTGCGGTGCCTTCAGTGGACAACGGAATCAAACCACCTCGCAAAGGGTTAATGTCCGTTACTATCGCCCGCGCCAAGTCGTCCTTGAATCGGTACGAATACACGAAAAGACATAATGTACTTTACAATAACGAGATGATTCATTTTTAGCCCTTTGAAGACCATGCGTCGCAAGCTGCCAGGAGGGTCCAGTTCTCACATGCCGACATATCTTGAGAAGGGTGACGTGCTTAGGTCATATATGGGTCACACTATCTGAGGGAAGTTACCATCCATAACAGGTTCGGATCACTTTGCCTCACCATAGCTGATTTGGTTATCGAGTCCAATAGTCAGCAGGCTGCACGCCACTCCGATAGAATGGAGGACCTCACACTGGGGATAGAGAAAGGTGATCATATCTAAGGATTTCATACCCGAATGGAGGGTCTCTTCACGAGGCCCGCTGATGTTCGGGGAACGGATGACTCCCTCAGATGTTTGTTCTCCACCGCTACTTGAGAGCTCAGGGTCAGATGGCCATGGCCTCCGAGTGAGATTACTCTCTATTGAGCGCTGTTTGCATATTGGTGTAGATGTGCCGCATTTGTTTTGACCAAGAATCTGTCCAAGATCCGCTATTACGGCCATGCCGATGTAAAGGCAGTGTGGCGTTCGTTCACAAAGGTTGTCTACGGTGAGCAGAGCGTGGCCATACGTCTTGAAATCTTCTTCCAGACGATGGGTCGAGAGACAGAT